CCAGCTGTACACCTTGTTATCTAAGATTCTCCAGCATCGCAGTTCCTACTATCTCTGTGTATGAGGAGTATCTTTGACTGAGGTGTATCAGCGAATTTCTAGCACAAAGATTTGAATGATGTAAAATTCCAAGGCTCCGTGAAAATGGTCAAAGGTGCAGCAATGAAAAGGTATTAGTTGCATTATGTAAGGAATGTGAAAGAACTATGTCTTTGAAAAAATAGAATAAATATGATTTTTATTGACCTTTTAAAGTGTATGAAGTAAGTCAAACTACAATGATTCAGATGTCATACCAAGAAATATTAGAAAAAGCAAAGTAAATATCGAGAGCATTGTATACTCAGATGATAAATAGGAGAAGTAGCTACAGTGGGGAAGGCATTTGATAGGAAGCACAGAACAATTTTTCAGTTGGTGGAGAGAGTCAGACTGTGCTTCAACTATAACTTTTTGTATATTTAACATAGCATATCCCAAAGCAACACAAAAATAATCTGAGAGGAAAACAGGTATACTTGAACATCACTTTCGTGATGGATTGTGTGAGGGTAACTTGTTCAGATGTGCACAGAACCTGTCAGAAGTTTTGGAAATATCCAAGAGTGATATGTGATTCACAAAAGTATTAAAGAACAATGTTTCACTAATAAACGGTTATTTATTGGCACAGAAGTTGAGAGTTGCTGGAAAAACAGGCATATTTTCTTAAAGATTTTCATTTGACTAGTGACAAATCAGAGTTAACCTGCTTGGCTTAAGATTTAACTAAAGTTTGGCAGTTAACTGACAATCATCATTAAACTGTACATATTCTACAGTAGTGCCTCTACCAGTTGGAGTCTGCTTGGCAACTAATCTGCATTGTCCTCTCAGAAGTATTGATATTGTTTTCTGTTAATGTTGATATTCCTGCAAATTTACCTGATAAGCCTAAGAAGAAAAAGCTTTGGTAACTTTCCCTTTTCCCAGCAATACTCGACTTTCATTAATATGAGAGGGAGGATAACTGAAGAACTGATCATATTGCTAACATATAATTGACTAATAAAGTAAGTTGTAGCTGGTCTGGTTCTGGATTGGGGAACCTCAAACAAATTGGGACTTTGGTTTTCTGATTACTCCCTTATTTTCCTAATAAGCTTGTTCAAGCTTGAGAAGAAAAAGAACAGTAATTAATTACCACATAGGAAAATAATGGCCAAGAAAAACACAAATGGACTGTTTCTACTAAAAGAAAGATTGGGGTTGTAATTAGCAAGACTTTCTAAATATATTTGTATTCATGGTTACTTTCTGCCTAACGTCAGTGCAATATTTTGGTACAAGATAATAGTTGAAACCTTTTTCAGCATGATAGAAGAATAGAGTTTGGAATTGATGGCCTCTACCTTCATAAAAGTCACCTTGTAGAAAGTACAAATATTAATTGTTGGAAATACGGAACCATCTAATTAATGTACAATGATTTTGCAAAGTGACTCTTTTATCAATTAAATATGCTGTTATTTTTAATAAGTCTCACTGTGTTACTTCAGTTTAATGCAGCTCAGGATAAGCACATTTATTCCCAGTTTTCCAGGTGGTAGCACGTGTATTTTGGAAACTGTTTAAATTGAGCAATTATTTATTGATAAGAGTCAGCCAGCTAATAGTTATTTTCAACAAATGGGCTGTGCAAATGTAATATACAAGGTTGGTGTCCATTGCATTTAGATGTTCCTTTTGGGGACAGGGATGGTTGGGAAGGAAACGAAGGGAATTGTTGGAAGTGGTTGGAATTAATTTGAAACTTTGCTTAGGTAATGTGTTTGGTTGTAATCCTTTGAGGAATGAATGGGCTGGTTTGGCCAAAATTGCTTTTTTTTTTAAGTGATCTAATTTTTTTTGACTAAAGCTTGCACCTGTTTTTAAGACCTTGAAATATTGAATTTTTATTAAGAGATGGAGCCAGCTATTTATAAATATTGGAGGTTAGGTTGTTACTGTTTAGTTCTGTGGGCTGCCGCTTAAGTTGCTCCCATGAAGGTTGCCTGCTGGAGTAGGTGGTTGTTCTGTATCAATGCAGATAGTAACTACATCACACACTGGAAGTTGGATCCAGAGTTTATTGAAGTAGCTTATTTTTCTCCTCCTGTTCATTTGTGAACCAATCTGTATTCATCATAATTATTCAAATGACATTTTTAAAGGAATATCTTGAAAGGTTTTTAATCCTAGATATGTTTTTTTTTAAGCATTTCTTTTTATTTCAGGCAAATTATATGAAACAGGGGGCTGTGACATGTCACTTGTGAACTTTGAAACTGCTGCAAGAAGGACATCAAACAATATTTGGTATGTAACTAGGCTGAGAAAGAGAAGTAATTACCCTGATTGGAAAGCCACCGTGATGTCATTTCAAATTATTCTATACTTTTCAAAAAAAGCATCATTGTTGCCTACTTCAGGCAGTAAGTCTGAGAAACGCTTGGTAACATCTGTTGATATTAACTTTGATACTTGCTATCCTCCGAACCTCTCAATTAAGTTAATTGCATATAATAGTGCATGTTGTGGTGTTCTGTTTTGTACATATCACTACTTGCTAAGCATTGTAATTTTGTTGTGGAAATCATTGCTTTTCCATTTGACAGCATGCTGGCAGGAGATAGGCAACTGCAAAGCAAGGTACTGATGTTAGGTTTGTATTTGTGGCAGTGCAACTCAAAGTTATGATTAAGGCTCCTATGTGGTTTTGATTATTTTATGATGCTGCTGTGTTATTGCTTTATCTTTCAGGTTTACCTTGTTTATAAGCTGTAGTCATTTTCAAGCTAATCTGTTTTTATTGCCAACCCTCTCATTGATTATATTATGTATACCCCTTAACTAAATTAATGCTTTGTGATTTTGGCTAGGTTCTTGTTATCAAAACTTTCTTTATTCGAGAAGATACAACTCTTAAATATGGAATGCAAGAACCAATGATATTGCGTGTACTTACATGCCAGTATTTAGTCTACTGTAAGATTTTGGGGTTCATTTAACCTAAAGTGAAACATCTTCATCAATTACAATGAGTAGGTTTGAAAGATCCGATCTAATGTTTACCAGTCTTGATTAGTTGCAAGTAAAAATATATTTTCACAAGTTTTGCAAAATTTGTTAAGTTTATCATAGCAAGTACAAAATAAATGATACTTTTTTTTAAAAAAGCAGCCGTACATACAAAATGAGGTGAGCTGCAGTGAATTGCATGAGATAACTCAGAGAGAAACCCTCAGTGAAGCTCCCTGAAATTGATACTTCATAATTTTTTGTAAAACTCAGTCCTCTGTCTCATCCAACAAAGGAAAGCATGTCCAGTGCTGCCATAAGCAGTAGCTTAACAGTTAATCCACTTTGGAAAGCTAGTTTGTGACACTGGTTGACTGTGCCCTCATTTCTTGTTCAGTTCTGTTCTTCCAAAGAGAATTAGACAAGTAGATTAAGTGTTTCAGGCAGCTTTGGGCATGCTTTCCTTTGTGGCAGCTGTTTTCCATTGCCAATAAGTACTTATGACTCCCATGAGAATGGAAGACATTTCAGGTTGTGTTTAATGGACTGAAATACAGTTATCAATCCGATAATCAAGGAGTTTCCCCTCCCCACCAAATCTCGATGTGCCTTACTTCCTTGCACTCCCTGTTGACCTCATCAGTACTGTGCTTCGACATGTTCACACCCTCTGATACACTGTTGTCTCCCACCCCTATATATTAAGTTATCCCCTTCACAACTATTAACACCTCAACATCGCAGCATGTGGCCTCCAATTCCATAGTGAACTTGTCCAGCTTTTCCACCACAGCACTGACCACCGATAACTCCCCTTGAATTTCATTGAGGTCACCTTAGGACTGACCCTGGTCCACCCATGACTGACTTGGACAGACAGCTTCAATTGAAAGGTGATCAGATCCTCGCTGATCTCTGTGAAGCTCCCTGAATGCATTACTGTGAACCACTACTGATTGTGTTGGACCTGCAGGACTGACCATGGCCCACTCCCTGAACTGCAGTGCTACCCAACCTCTGATCTTGACCATGCCCAAGTTTCTAGACTAAGACTGGACACTGCCTTTCTGAAGGCTGCCTCTGTTGACCTGGTTGAGGACTACTCCCCTTAAAGTTTGAGACATGGCCATTTGGCTTATTATCATACAATATGTTTACTACTTCAGCTGCTGGAGGTATGACATGATGTGGCACAGTGCTATACTGCAACATATTAACCCCCTTGTCTGATCACTGCTGACAACCATGAAAAGTTGCCTGGCTTTTATGTCTGCGCTAAACAGCAAGGCAAGGTAGATGTACTGTGAGCCTTAAAGTTCTGAATGAGGTGGCAATGCACCAAAAAGGCAAGGAAAGAAATGTAAGCATGCAAGTAGGTGAAAGCTGAGCTAAGAGAACAAGCAAGGAGGCCTAAGGGTACACCCTGTTCCAATCATTGAGGTGGGTGCTTGTTGCTGTGTGAAAAGTGTCCTGGCTGCAGCATTGAAGAGGAGAGCTGTATTCTGGCTGGATTGGAGATTTTCCATGAGGATGTAGTGCATGTGGTTGCTGTTCATGGAGCATAAACTGAGACGTTGGGGACTGCTGTCCAGGATGCAGACATGGAAGAGCAGGATATGAGCTGGCATCTCCAGGTACCCACTCTGACTCTCATGTAAAGAATTATCATCATCTAGTTTCTATCATGCGCATGGGGAAAAGGAAACTATCCTATTAATGATATGGTAGATTGGATAATAAAGGTAAAATCATTATCGTCTTACAGACTATAGAGGTGCTGTCTCATTAGAGAAAGATGACTGGTGTGATTTAACCTGAGGCGCACTATGCCTCCAGCAAGGGAGAAGGTTACTTAGGGAGAGTCCTTCAAAGTAACCTCAGCCAGTATAGGAATTGAAACCATGCTGTTAGCGTCTCTCTGTCACAAACTAGCCATCTAGCCAACTAAGCTAAACCCTCCCCTCCCACTCCTCCCACTCCTCCCTCCCTCCCTCCCACTCCTCCCTCCTCCCACCTCCTTCCTCCCACACAAAATAGATACTAATGAGATACAAAGAGGTCTCTTGCCGCTTGCTAGCAAGTTCACAATGTGCTTGCAGATGTCAATGCCATGAATCTTATTTTTCTGATCTTGCCATACTTTCCCAACTGACTTGCAAATTCCCACTGGAAAATTCTGCCCAATGAGTATACGAACAAAGTCATTATGTTAGAACTGTGTCAAACATTAGTTAGGCCTCAGCTGAAATATTGCATACAGTTCAGGTGACCCTAACATGGAAGATGTGTTGACATGAGAGGGAGATGACAGAGGAGTTTTATGACAACATTGTAGTTTTGGAAAACTGTAACTAGTTTGAATAGATTAGATTTGTTTTCTTTGAAACAGAGGAAGTTGATGGAAAATATAATTGAATTTAATTGGTATAAAGTTATGAAGGGGGTAGAGATATTTCTTTTAGAGAATTCTATTACCAAAAAGTATAGACTTATTGACAGAATTATTGACAGAAGGCCCAGGGAATTTTTGTTTTTACGCTAGGGCTCTAGAATTTACAAGAGTTGTAATAGCAGAAACCTGTTACGTATTTAAAGTACTTGAATATGGATTTGCAGTCCTGTAGTCTGCAGTACTGCAAACCAAGAGTTAAAAAATGGGATTAAGCTAGATAATTCTCTTCTTTTGGCTGGCATAGCCACGATGTGTATAATAATTTCAAAATCTGTGCACAGACAGTGACAGTAAACTATTGAGGTCCTCAATCCTGTTTCATCATTGTATTAAGTTTATGGTTGATTTGTGACTTAACCGCATTTACCTGCCTTTTCTGATATTCTATTGTTACGTCTTAGCAAACAAAAGTCCATCAGTCTCAGTCTTGAAAATTTAATCATAGAAATAACATTGACCAATCAGGCCCTCATGCCTGATCTGCTATGTATTCAACAGTGACTGATCTGTACCTGTTGGCTCTCTTCTAGCTCCTTATTTCCATTTAATGTTTTTGGCATTTCTTTTATTGTGTTTGGGGATACAGTGTTAATTTTGTCTGTGTGTGCTTAATACACTACACAGGAGGCCACGCTTCAAAACTGTAGAGAGTGAGCGATTGCAAGTTTCTTAATTTGTGTAATATACATGGAATCATAAGTCCAGTTTTTCCTCATACTCAACATCACCTATGCATTTTGCAGAAGATTAATTAGATAACGTTCAGGACCAGAAACTCCAGACAATTTTTGCTCCCTATTCCAGGAAGATTCAAGGCAATTGCAGTGCATGCTGGTTGAGAACACTAGCTCAGCACAGACGTGCGATTGAATTTGGAAACTTTCCAGTCCTTTTTAAATCATTTGGTACTGTTTTGATAATTTGCTCCTAATTTAAAGGACGGACTCCAGACTCCTGTAATTACATTGTTGGTGTATTTATGAAACTGAGCTCGTCAGCAGGACAGATGGTTGCTAATGTTTCCTTTAAAGTGAGATCTAACAGAAAGATAGCAGTTCATCATCACATCAGGTTGTCACAATTGAAGGTATGTCTGCATGGCCAACCACAATTGAGATGGGAAGCAGATCTAAACCACTTCCTCACCTGCATTTGATTGTATCTTTCAACCCACATAGAATGTAGATAGAAGTGGTGACTGACTGACTGACTGTATTTATCAGAAAGACAATATTAGACAGTGTACTAGCAATGTTTTTAATAGTCCCTCAGCTCAAGGTTAGCCTGTTATTTACATCTTGTAGGCTATGTAGCATTTCAACTGTAAAATGTCAACATTTTCTGAAGATTAAAATCTACCTCTTATACTGTCTTGAGACATTCAAGCTATTTATAGTGTTAGCTAAGATTAAAACAAAATAAAAACTGAAAATCAACTAGATTGTTGATTTATCATACAGACTCATGCGTTTGCAAAACAAATAAGATTTAACCTTCTCATAAATGAATGCAATTTTACTTCTGTTCTTTACAGGGACACAGATTCCCATCTATCAAGTTCTACCTCAGTTAGATTTTATCCACACGATCTAGTAAGTATTTGGTATAATGCTGTTTGTGCTGTAAATGAAAACTTGGCAGTTTTCAACACCGGTGGCAATGTGTAGTGAGAGATTTACAACAAGAGCAGGAAATATTTCAATCTATTTAGTGTGTGTGTGTGGCAGAGGGCGGAGAAATACATACTAAAGGTTTTGAGTAAATCCCTTAAGATCCTGTTTTAGATTTTGTGGCTTTTCTAATTAATTGGTCAAGGGAGATATTTTTATCTGAATTGCAGGATGAGAATATATTAGAATACTGAGTAATCTTTGCTCATCCAGGTAGGACTTTATCTATGAAATAACAATGGCATGCCTAAGAGATCTCCAATGTGTATGGCATTCTGATTTTCACTTTACATTTGCACAGAAAAGCCATTATATGGAGATAATAAAAGCCTCTGGAACATTAAAACTGTTAAAACAAATTTATTTTGCTGTAGGCCTAATTAAAGTCTCTGACTGTTGTAGACAAGCAAATAATGCAGCCTAGTTAGGTTATTCCACTACTGGAACTAATATAATTCCACATTATGTTCCAAATACTCTTACAGGACAGCTGAAACACTACATGATAGAGGCTGGCAGATAAAAAAAAAGCAGAAGCAAAAACTGCTGGAAAAAGCTCGGCAAGTCTGGCTCAAAAGGGTCTGAGAAACGGTCACTAGACTCGAGACATTAACACTGATTTCTCTCCATTGGTGCTGTTAGACCGGCTGAGCTTTTCCAGCAATTTCTGTTTTGCTGCTGATCTCCAGCATTCGTGGTTCTTTTGTTTTTTAAGACAAAAAATTGTTATTTTCAAGGAAATAGAAATGCAAAGAATAATGTTGGAAATATTCAAACTTCGGTTTTCAATGAAACTCTGTTCTTGCAAATCTTCCTGGTGATGAGCGTCCAGTTTGCTTTGGAAAGGTCCTCATTTTATTTTAAACTTATAAATTCACATGCTGGAATGTGCCAGCTTGTTTGACTCAAAAGAATAATGCTAACAATTAATTTGATTTTGTTCAAATCAAAGACCTAGTGCAATTTTGTACACATACATTTTAAGTACAGCTTTGACCTAACCCAGTTACAGTTGTCTCTTCCACAGATTCGACTGAACAGGTTGCTGACAATTGATCCTGATCTCCTGGAACAGCAGGACACTGATCTTAGCCCAGATCTACAAGATCACATTCAGCCACAAGAGCAGGCCCAGAAAATCAAGCATTACTACAGGTTCTGGATCCTTCCCAAAATATGGATAGGAGTGAACTTCAACCGCCTAACCCTATTGGCATTGTTTGATAGGTAAGAGATGATAACTGCTTAAGCTGACAGATACATGAATTCACATTGTACTCCACTATATTATGGTAGCTGAATTGAAAATTTTTGCCATGAAATAAAGCCTTGGTTTTTTTTTCCTCTCATCTCCACTTTTCTGAATTTACTTCCTCTTCCTTTGGTGTTCAGTTCCATGGTTGTCAGCACACCTCTAGTTGCCTGTGTCTCAATTGGCATTCTTTACGTGCACACTTAAGAGAGTGAAAGGCAACATGATATTCAGTCATGGAAAGCATATAATTCTCAAATATTGTTCTCATCCTGTATCTCTACATAGGTGCGTGGTTTTTACAATGTATAGTTACAAAGTGATGAAGAATGGGAGCTCTGTTTAACTTTTTAGTGTCCTAAGACCAGGGTCACTAAGATCGGAGAGGAGGCGATAGCCTGGTGATATTGTCACTGGATTGTTAATATAGAAATCACTTAATGTTCTGGGAATCTGATATCAATTCCTACATGCCAGATGGTGGAATTTGAGTTCAGTAAAAATCTGGAATAAAGAGTCTGATGACCATGAATCCATTGTCAATTGTCAGGGGGAAAAAAAATCCCCATCTGCTTCACCAAATGTCCTTTACTGAAGGAAATTGTCATCCTTACCTGGTCTGGCCCACATGTGACTCCAATCCCATAACAATGTGGTTGACTCTGAACAGCCGTCTGGGATGGGCCTAGTCTAGGCAGCAATGCTTCATCCTGTGAACTAATAAAAACAAAAATCATTGTGCATTCCACCGAATATTAGCAAATAGAGGGAATGAAATCTAGAACTGTCTGGTGTGCACAGCACCTAATAACTTCAGCTCCTATTCCAAAATGCAATCTGTACATACAATGCAGGATTTTGTTGAGCCCCCATGAAAGTCTAAAATTAGAGAACTGAAGACAACAGGACGTGAACTATGGAAAATACATATTCGGTGAAATCTAGTTATTATGTTCATAAATTTTCTCATCATAGGCCCTTGGTGCCTATTCATTGATTAGTTGATTGTGACAATCATGATTTTATATTTTTACATGCTTTAATCGAGCAACAGTACTTTGTTATGCAAGTCAGAATGAATGAATCTGCAAAATTGATATGAATAATGTAACATAGTTTATTGCATCACAAACTGAAATTATTTCATGCTTGACATTTATGCTTTCTACATATTGGGTACAGTTTCAAGGAAATGTAGAAAATAATCCCTTCAGCTAATTTTGCTGTAATGGAAATAGCAATGATTTATCAATGTCACTATAGTTAGATTTCATGTAAATTGAGCTAAATGATTTTGTGCATTTTATACTTAATACATGCATAGTTTGTGTACTTAGTGGAATGTATTTTGCCTTACATTGATAAAGCTTGTACTGAAATCTGAGCGTATAAAGTAAATTGTCAAATAGCCATTTATAAAGGAATTATTTAGTTCTTGAGCATTTTATGATGGAATGGATATAACATGATGTAAGAAAGAAATTCTTCTAATGGATTTGTACAAACATGTCAGTCATGATCATGTTGAACGGCAGAGCAGGCTGAAAGGGCCAAATGGCCTACTTCTGCTCCAGTTTTCTATGTTTCTATTCACAAATGCAAAACACAATTCGATTTACATGCATTTGGAGAGGCAAGGGTTGATTTAAGGATAAATGGTTTTGTGCGAGGAAAATCATGTCTCACAAACTTGATTGAGTTTTTTAATGAAATAACGAATAAGATTGAGTGCAGAGCGGTAGATGTTGTTTACTTGGAGTTTAATAAAGCCTTTGACAAGATTCCGCGTGGTAGATTAATTAGTAAAGTTAGATCACATGGGATTCGGGGTGAGTTTGCCAATTGGATACAAAACTGGCTTTGTGTTAGGAGACAGAGGGTGGTGGTGGTGGAGGATTGTTTTTTTGGGTGGAAGGCCTGTGACCAGTGGTGTTCCACAGGGATTGTTACTGGATCCACTTCTGTTGGTCATTATGCTTAATGATTTGGATGAGAATATAGGAGGCGTGGTTAGTAAGTTTGCAGATAACACCAAAATTAGTGATATAGTGGACAGTGAAAAAGATTATCTAAGATTAAAAAGAGATCTTGATCAATTGGGTCAGTAGCCTAAGGAGTGGCAGATGAAGTTTAATTTGGATAAATGTGAAGAATTGCTTTTGATAATGCAAACACGGTTAGGGCCTATACAATTAATGGTAGGGCCCTGGGTAGTGTTGTAGAATAGAAAGACTTAAGGGTTCAGATGCAGAATTCTTTGAAATTTGCCTCATAGGTTGACAGGGTGGTTAAAAAGGCATTTAGCGTGCTTGCTTTCAATGCTCAGACTTTTGAATATAGGATGTGGGATATCATGTTGACGTTGTACAGGACGTTGGTGAGGCCTCTTCTGGAGTACTGTGTGCAGTTCTGGTTGCTCTATTATGGGAACGAGATCATTAAACTGGAGAGGGTTCAGAAAATATTTACTAGAATTTTATCAGGAATGAAGGTTTTGAAATATTTTTTAAAAAGACTTCACTGGAGCATAGGAGGTTGAGGGGTGACCTTGTTAAGGTTTGTAGAATCATGAGGGGCATAAATCAGGTGAATGACAGGGGTCTTTGCCTTGGGTGGGCAAGTTCAAAACTAAGGGGCATATTTTTAAGCTAAGAAAACATGAGGGGCAACTTTTTTAAGCAGAGAGTGGTTTGTGTGTGAAATAAACTGCCAGAGAAAGTAGTGGATGCAGGTGCAGCTACAACATTTAAAAGGCATTTGGATAAGTGCATGAATAGGAAAGGTTTGGAGGGATGTGGGACCATCGCAGGCAGGTAGGACTAGTTTAGTTTGAGAACACGGTCAGTGTGTACTGTTGGACCGAAGGGTCTGTTTCCATGCTGTATGACTCTAGTTATAGGTCAAAGGTTTTGCTGCTGATGATGGTGGAAAAAATGTCTGCTTCATTCTTGACCATTATCACTTGAATATCAGCACGTACATTGGTGTTTAAGTCTCATTTACACTGTGGCTTGCTACAAGCCAGGTCTCATTTTAAACAGCCTTCAGTGCTACATTCCTAGTGTCAGGCTTGACCTCTAACTCCTGTGTATTTCAGGCTGATTGGTTCTGCAGAGCAGTGGTTTCAAAAGCAGATCCAGATAGACCTTTTTTAAAAAAGCACTTTCCCTGTGCTATTGAAATTGTTTAGATTAGACAACTAAGACAGTGTGCCATTGACTATGAGATTCACATTCCTTGAATTAATGCCACCAAAGAAGTAGAAGAGTAATTTTTTTTTTTTAGCTAGTTCGTCTCTCCCAGTTTGAAATTATTTCTGTCATTTCTCAGCTTCTTAGAGGTGCCCACTTGTTTCCCAGCTGCAAGCGTGAGCTGACTAATCTTCTGAGCTTTTGACAGTGTTACCTGAGGGGAAGATACTTGCTTTCTTCCAAACCCAAATTTAGAAAGGTAACATTGGATAGCTGTCATTATTATTCAAGCATATTTGATTTAAGTCACATTCGCATGTTATTGGAACTGTCACTTGTCACCGTGTCAAAGCAGTTGTACCTGCCTACATATTTTGACTTCAGTGACTTTTGCTGAGATTTTGCATCAAAACAACTGAATGAGTAAACATTGGAAACCTGGAGCAGACCCTGCTCCAAAGGTAAAAATGGCAGAGTGAAGATTGTACTTGGTAAATTCAAATAACTATAAACCAGTAGACCAAAAATAAATCTTAAGGTGGAATGGTATTTGGCTGAGTATCACCCCTTTCTGTTAAAGTTCCAAGCAGGTCTGTGCAAAATTGGGAAATTAAATGGATTCATTATATTTTGTATGCCCAATTTTGAATTGTCTGCTCTCTTATACAGGAATAATATCGTATTTCTGATTTACTCCTAGGAATCGAGAAATTATGGAGAATGTTTTGGCTATTGTTTTGGCAATTCTTGTTGCCTTCCTTGGATCTGTTTTGTTAATAGATGGGTTCTTTAAAGACATTTGGGTCTTCCAGTTTTGCCTTGTTATTGCCAGCTGCCAGTATTCCCTTCTGAAGGTATGGATTGTTTGTAGTCAATGTTATTACACATCATATGACAAAATATTAATTAATGAATGAATTACAATTACTGCATCTTATTTTAATAGAGTGTACAGCCTGATTCCTCCTCTCCAAGACATGTAAGTTTAAACAGTTTTCTGTTTGAAAAACCATTGTTTAGTGGGAAAGTGTCATGATAGGTACCTTGTATTATACTGACCTGGATTTTTGCGGTTGTAATGATGGTGAAACATTCAGTGCTTGCGGTCATTACTTCCCTGAATTGACAGCAAGCTTCAACTTCTGAAGCCCACAGTGTACAATTAAATATGGAACCAGAAGCTGCTGTCACTCATTACTGTCATTCTTTGCAAGATGTACAGATGAAGTCTGCCTAGAACGCAGTCAGGTTGAAATCAGTGCACTGACAAACATGCCTGTTTATACTGTTAGTTCCAATGTACAATTCTTTGTAAATATTGCACCTTGTTGAATTATTTGTGTTTTTGCAGTATACTAATTTCATAATTACTGCTAAACAGTCTCATTCTTCCTGAAAAAATAATTTTAAACCATGACGTGTCAAATTTCTCCATCATGCTGGAGTCACAATAATTATTGTTTGGAGAAATGGTTTGAAATAGTTTAGCTTCTACTCTAATCCCATGTATATCTTCCAACCATTTATTTTGTTCCCTACAAAATTTTAATTAAAAATGAAAAATTCAATGCATTTAAGTTCCTGGTTTGCTGTCTGTAAAAATATGTGATTGAATGCTTATCCTGTATGACATCAAGATTGTTAAATGCTTGTAGATCCACTTAACTTGGTGCCACATTCATTCTGTTGCTAGGAAAGTAGATGTCCACACAACAAATATGTTAATTAGTTGGCAAATGATAGCTTATGAAACACTCGATAATAACCTTTAGCTTACTGATATAGTTAAATATCAAGCTTGTTTTAAACATATGAACCCTGAATTATGCATGTGATATCCCATCTGTCGGTCCCTTTAGTAATGTTGTAACATTTGCATGGTCATATAATTGAATCTCCATGAAATTATCTTTGTGCACTGCGATTGGTTGCTTGATGTTAATTAATTAACTTTTATGTGCCTCCTCAAATACTTCGTTCCTCTCACCAACATGCAGAATTTCTCATAACTATTGGAAGTTTATGTTTAGGTTAACAAGCGTTTTAGACAAGCTTATGCTGAAGTCATGCTGTCACTTTGGTGTCAAGGTGCCACACTTTTTGCTGCATAAAAGTTGCACTTTCGCTCAGAAGCCAGCTCCCAAGCTACCTTTGAAAAGCAGCATTGTGAAACCATTCTTATATTGTTTAGTTTGGCACTGTACAGAGCAATACCTCAGTAATTGCATTGCTTAGTACTGGGGTAACCCATGCATTCATAAGACTAAATATTTAGAGGCTGGAATTGGGTTTCTAGTCAAGCAATCTTGGGTTTTGCAGAATATGATTCAGCCAGGTAGTAAAGCAAAGACCTTGTTGATTTTGATTTTTGCAGCTGGAGATGATCTCTGATCAGTATAGTAGTATTGTGTGTATGTGAAGTGAAATGATATTGTGAATTTTTATTTTCTCCTAGGGGCATAATCGCATTATAGCCTACAGTAGGCCTGTCTACTTTTGCATGTGCTGTGGCCTGATCTGGCTGTTGAATTACGGGAGTAAACATACATCAGCAGCAAGATTTAAGATGTATGGAGTGGCTTTTACCAGCCCTTCACTTTTGACTTCTGCCAGAGATCTTGTCATGGGTAAGGAACATCAAAGATTATTAGGATTGAAAAATAAAAATAATTGAATCTTTCTTCAAAGGTATTTTAAAAGGTTTACAAAATCAAGGCAAACCAGTTAAATCTCAATTAAAGGGTCACCCAAATGAGATTTCCAACTAGGAAACAATGAAATGGATTTTGTTTTTACTTTTCAAAATAATGTGATTACCGTGTTGCTCACCAGCCTTCAATGTGGTGATTTAGTGTAGGCGCACCTCTTTTACAAAATTTCCTCTCTGACAGTAGATATGTTTTTTAGCTTTCTTGCTGAGAGGAAATTCGTATGAACAGCTTTCCAGTTTAAAAACATGACTTGGCATCGCTTCCAAAGGAACTATTTTAAGCAGAAATAGTTATGTTTGAAAGTTAAGCTAACTTGTTTGCTCTCTTTTTAACTGGTGTATTGTTTTGAGTACTTCACACCACTATGTAGATCTTTGTTAAGTTTAGATGGAAAAGAATATAGTAATGTTTAGTATGCAATAGTCTGGCTGCATGGCAAGTTTTGAACCAGACTGTTGTTTTGGGACGGTTGTACGATAAGTTACGTCACTGCTAACTGGATGGTAAAAGTCGCATTTTTAAATAGCCCTGACTTTGTGTCAAACAGCTTTTTCACATGTAAAAGTGGAATGGTTTTGTTCATTTTACAGAGTTTGTATTTACACAGTGCACTGTATTAGACAATAGGTGACAACTTTATAGGAAACCTTGGACAAAATTATTTTCATTTTATGAATTAATTGTTGCTTTTTTTCATTCTGCTCATTGAACAAATTCAAAAGAGTGATATCAAGTCCAAAAACAACACTTTGACACCACTTAATTTACCAGGTGTGTGTATGTGTGTGTATTAGAGAAGGGAAGACAATAAGAGAAATTCAGTTCTTCTCTGCCAGCTGCAATTGGACTGTATAGAATAAGCATGTTCAAACTGACACAATCATTGACTCATGAAAATGATGTCATTGTTGTGTTGTCAGGTAAAGGTCGCTGATGTCAGTGAAATAAATGCAGACATTAATTCTCACATTTACACCCAAATGTTGTCTCTGTTCTCAGTTTATTTCTCTCTTAATGAGCACACTGCCCCCTTACCAAGTGTAAAAGCAGTGTGATATTGGTAGAATGAAAGCATATATAGTTAAGCAAATAAAGTTTGTGGAATTGCTTAAGCGCAAACTAAGCATTTATTAAGTAGGTAGGCAGATCTATAGCAATGTAATTGATTAGTTCCAAACTTTCATTGCAACTATAGAAACTGATCTGAATTACCAACCTAGTTATATTAATTTCTTTGACTTTTTCTATCAGTATAGAACTCATCAGTTAGTAGATGTTATTCTTGAAAAGGATCATTTACTCAGACACAGATTAATTCCCCATATATTCTAATGAGAAAACTGCTGGTTTACAGGAACAATGTAGACTGAGGTTGCTGCTTTGTAGCTGCGATTCTTAGGCACCATTGCAAGGATAGCAGATGTAAGTACTTTAAACAAAAGCAACAGTGAGTAAATCCAGTGTTATATGTTTTTGATGGAGATTGTTCAGGATTTACTTATGCGTAATTCCAGGAAGTTTAACTTGCTAAGTAAGTTTTCTGTAAATTCTATTTGAAAGAAGCCTGAGTTTAAAAAAAATCACCCCAACAACTGATCTTGCACTGTCATTGCATCTATCTGAACCAGTTATTGGAGTTGAGATAATCGCTTGCTTTCTCCTGAGGCACGTTGAGACTGAGCAATACATTTCAATGGGCTCTGCTTTCAGTACGAAGATAAAATGAACGTTTGGGTTGCAATGACTTATCATTAAGAAACTCCTGACATAGTAGCAGTTCCTTACTTCATCCACATTCATTCTACTTTCTCGACCATTTTTACTTGACAAAAAAAATGCATTGGGAATTTGAGGAATTCCGTTGAAATTTGCTGGTGAAACCCATTTGGTAGGTGGGAAAAGGGGGTAGGATAGGTTTAGTAAGATAAATTATCTTAAACAGTGGTCAGTATTTCAAGGGGACATATACTGCCAGGGTGGGAATATAGTTTGCAGATGCAGTCGAATGTTTAAAAATGTGAAATAAAGCAGAAGAAGTGCACTTTTAAGGATCAGTTTTTAAGTGAAATAAAGAAGCAGAGGAATCTTGTGCAGTTGCGTAAGTTTTTAAAAGAGGCAAACATAGAAAATAACATCAAGCAAATATATCTTTTGTTTTTATATCAAAATGCATAATACAAAATCAAAAGGATGATATTGAACTAATTCGACATAGTAGAGTATAGTCGAAGTTGATGTATTACTTAGGTCACTGCAATATAGGAAAGTTACTGACAGTGAAAGAAGTATAGAATTAAATCTCTTGAAGGATTCTCAGGTTGAGGAATTACTGTTACAAGGAGAGTTTTGAAAGTTGGAGCCTTTGTTTTAACTTGGTACTGAGAAAGTCAAAGGTGACCTGATGGGCACTTACAAGATTATGAAGGGTTAAGATAATGTATGTAGTAGCCGTTGTTTTGAACTTTAATGAGAAGACAGCAAGAGGCTACAAATATAAGACAACAAAGAGGAAGCAAGTGAAGATTAGAAGACATAGCATTACATAGTTTCTGATTAGAATATAGATTCTTACCCACAAATGCTTATTGAATCGTCATCTAATTTGTTTTTAGTAAAGAAATGATGGCTGTTTAAAAGAACATTGAAGGTGACAGAGAAACCAGGTCAAGAATGAGATTAGGTGACACGTGGAGATAAAATGCTACGATAAGACTTGAGCTTGTATAATCTATTTTATACCATACATGTTTCAATAATTCTACTACTCTTTTGGTGATAACGTTATAAACTATTCAGTGCCAATCATGATACCAGTAAAGTGTTTGGAGTACTTTTGTTATCTGTATAGCTTCATTTGCACAGTATTTGGATGGTCAGTACTGATACCTGAAGATTATTGTTTCAAAGATTAAAATGTCTGGGCACCTTTAACTGATCATTATAAAGTTTGCTAATTTTGCTAAACTTCTAATATAAAGACTGTTATGATCCTCTTTCCTTTCTGACTTCATTGCTGGTATATGGAATATGTATAGCTCTCAAACTTATTGTCTAATTTCAGTTTAATTTTAACCATGACCACAACGCTTATTGCTTTTTCTTTTCATTTTACAGCATTTACATTGTGTTTCCCAGTCATATTCTTCATTGGGTTGCTTCCACAAGTGAATACATTTGTGATGTACCTTTGTGAGCAATTTGATATCCACGTGTTTGGTGGAAATGGTGAGTATTCTGATGTTTGAAGGATATTTTAGTATGCCAGATGTCTGTCATGCTGGTATCATCATGCTTCAGTGTCTTCAAAATAAACTATTGAGTAATCAGCATATATCGTTTATATTTTCCTTGTCATTACATAAATTCTACTCAGATTGACAAATGGCCTTATAACCATATCACAATCTTTTTGCATTATGAGGCCTTGCTTCCCCTTCAGTCTCCATCTGCAGTACATTCAAAGACCCAAATTAAACATCCCCCATGTGGAAATGCCAGTATTTTCTGTAGTTCATTGTATTGATGCTCTTGATGAAGTTTGCTTTGTTTTAAACAAGGGGAGGTCATGTTCACTGAAATCTTCCATGAAGCTACAGTCACCAGTGGATTGCTGTTGTGTCCCCACTCACGTGCCACTCACTTCTGAGCAGCTCCACATTTTTGTTTGTTCAGAAGAATACAACTAGTGTTCCATTGTAGTGACTTAACGTTTGGGGGAAGGGGAGGGAAGCCACACCCCAATTTTGAGGCATTGGCTGCAGGTTTTAAGTCTAAATGTCCAGTGTGGATGTTAATAAATGAGTGAATGGGCAGTAATGGATGAAGTAAGTGGTTAGAGTGGGTAAAGTGGTTTGGGAGTGCAGTTGTTTCAGTTCGGAGTGTAGTGGCAGAGTTCAGGGTTGGTGGGCATTGTGAATGACTCGGAGATCAGTTGTGTAGTTGCCAAGTAGTTAGACTAGGATTTTCAAAACTGTTTGAAGTTGAGAATCTGAGACTTTTGATGAGAGTCCGGGGGAGCAGGGGGAATTTCCTGTTGCAAGTTCAAACTTCCAGGGCAATTCCCATGGAGATCAGCAAGATGCCCTGATGCATTTTAGACAGTACGCCCTATCTTAAAAGATCCAGAGACCAGAAGAGTTGTACCATCATTGTGGATTATTGTTGCCTCCATCTGCATGCATCACCTTCTAAACTTAATACCTCAACATAACACATTGAGTGTAACAATTTGTGCCCCTCACAAATGGCAGCTTAGTTTAGTATTGTACCACCATACACACAACAGTCCAGAGCTTGTTTTAAAATATATTCATTTCATATGAAAAGAAATTCTACTTACATGGATGCCTCAACTTTTCAACACTCGGGGTCTTTCAGAATAATTCACAGGCAACAAATTAATTTTGAGAAGTCCATGTTGCACGCGAATTCCCAGATAGATTTAAGTATAAAGCACAACAGAAACAGGCAGTTCAAGTTGCCCAGTTTGGTGTTTATCTTCTGCACACAATCTTACTCCTATTTTTCTATATCCCCTTCTTCAGCTACTTATTCTTAAATATTGCAATTTTCTGTACTTCAGTCAGCAGTTCTGGTAGAGTAGTCCACAAGCATTTCAGCCTCTTTCTGTCATAAATTTCTTCAACGTATTTTCTGTGTCCCTTTGTTCTAGACATAGTCTGTGGAAGCAATCACATTCCATCTCCCACATGTCATCCAATACACTCTCAAATTTTTTTGGAATGTGCACACGATATATTTAAGTTTTCAAACCATTTACATCTTTTGCATGGACATGGACATGCATACCTGTTAGATTTAAAGGGACAACTTGAACAAAGTCTGCATGGGGACTTTCACATTGCTATACAGTCATGATGCTGATGGGAATTTGATCTCATCCCTTGCAAATTTAAAATAGTTCTATTAATTTCCAAATTCTAACAAAATCTGGTCGAGTTATTCACTTTGACATTGAGTAAGAAGGTAGACGATCGTTTGATATATTTAGGGTGGTGTTGGTTGAGGAATATATTTTGGTCAGAAAATAATACAACAGAATAATACAACGGAAGCTTTTGCAGCCTTCGAAGGCGGCATGGTGGGTCAGTGTTTAGCACTGCTTCCTCACAATGCCAAGGACCCGAGTTCGATTCCACCTTCAGGCAACGGTCTGTGTGGAGTTTGCATATCTTCCCCGTGTCTGCGTGGGTTTCTCCAGGTGCTCCGTTTCCTCCCACAGTCCAAAGATGTGTAAGTTAGGTGGTTGGCCATGCTAAACTGCCCATAGTGTCCAGGGATGTGCAGGTTACGGGGATTAGCTATGGGAAATGCAACGTTTCAAGGCTGGGGGTAGGGGATGTGGGTCTGGGTGGGACACTCTCTTTGGAGGGTCTATGTAGACTCGATGGGCCAGATGGCCTGCTTCCACACTGTAGGGATTCAGTGATTCTATGAATTAATAGACATTGACTTGGTTTAACTGAAAGTCTGAAGGATAGCATCACTGACATCTTGTGCAGCAGTGTAATTGAGTGCCAGGCTACTTGAACCCACAATGTTTTAACTCCGATGCAAGAATATTACCAATTGGGTTCTTAAATGCACTGAAGTCAATGAAAGCATTTGTTTTATGAAAGGGTAAAAAGTTTGGAAAAATATTGGAAAATGCATGGATATATTAATAATTCTTGAGTACAACTGTTTCTTGCCGATGAGAAACCTGAAAACTAAATACTTAAGCAGAACTTTGAGTGTATTCTGTTTTATTGTTATGTCTTCATTGTCTCATGCTTAAGCAAAGTTTATGTGAGTTCTAAACACAATAACTAGCTTAATTTTCAGACCAAAAATTTGATTTCAGAAAAATATCCAGCCATCTCTTAAAATTGCATTTTCCAGCTACCACAAACCTCCTTGCAGCACTTTACAGTTTCATTCGTAGTATCTTGGCAGTAGCTTTGTTGTACGGACTTTGCTATGGTGCCCTTAGGGTAAGTGCTTCTACTTAATATTACTGTTTGTGCCACAAGGGTAATCTTTAACTGCAGCCATTGTATTTTGTTTGTGAATTTTGTGGTCATCAAGTTGAAGGATTTTAGCACTGGAGAAGAGAATGTTTTCCACTTTGGAAAATCCATGTTAACAAATTAGGTTTTACAGGTAGGAATGTTTCCTCTACGATGAAATAAGTACAGATGATAGTCTTTCATTACATCCAACTGATCCTTCAGTAAAAACTTTAAATTTCTTCCTCTTTCTGCTCAATGGCTCCACAATACATTTGGCTTCTCTAAAGTATCCAAAAGACGAATCTGCCTCACTCAGTTCTCTAACACTGGAAAATAGCCTTATTATCTTTCTTTGTATGGTTTCAAGGGCTTAAAGTTAACTATTAACCTCAGGAGCAGCCCTCTGAAACTTTCTTCAACTAGCTATTTCTTGTTCTTTGAGTGAAATTCTCAATCATTGTCAAATAAATAACACTTTCGTATTGTGAGGTTATTTGGTTGATTTGAAATTGTCCAAACTCATTGACAACTCATTTATACAGAAACAGGCCATTTGGTCTGGCTAGTCCATGCTGGTATTTATCCTCATATTAAGCCTCCTCCCAAATTTTGTCATTGAAATCTGCCATTGTAACCATCAATTTCTTTCTCCCTCATGTTTTTCTGTGATTCCTGTAAGTGCATCTTTATATTTGGTCCAAACACTTGTTGCGGTAGCAAATTCCACCTTCTAACCTATCTTCGGATGAAGAAGTTTCTTTCGAATTCCAATTTGGATTTATTGGTGATCATCCTAGACAGAGGGCGTCTCGTTATGCTCTTCTCCTCCGCAAGAGGCAACATTCCTTCCATATCTATTCTATCAAAACCTTTCATAATTTTAAATTGGATTTCTGTTAGATTGTCTCCTAGTTGTCTTTTTTCAAGAGAGAAGATAGTCAGCTTGTCAGTCCTTTCCTGATATATAGGGAGCAATTTAATGCATGCAATGGTGTCTTGCTTGCCAGTTGAAGGCCTGATAGGAGAAGGTGCCAGGGAAGCTGAAAGGTCTGACGGTAGATAAATCACCCAGACCGGATGAACAACACCCCAGACAGCTGAGGAGATTGTGGAGGCATTGGTAGTTGTCTTTGAGGAATCACTGAAGTCAAGGAGGGTCCCAGAGGACTGGAAAATGACTAATGTAACACCCCTGTTTGAGAAGTAGTGGGGGAGGCAAAAGGCAGAAAATTATAGGCTGGTTAGCCTGATCTTGGTCATTGGTAAAGTTCTGGAGTCCGTTATTAAGTATGAGATTGCAGAGCACTTGCAAGTGCTTGGTAAAATAAGGCTGAGTAGGCATGGCTTCTTCGAGGGAAGTCGTGCTTGACAAACCTGTTAGAATTATTTGAGGAGACAACATGCAACTTAGATAAAGGAAAGCCAGTGGACATAATCAGTTTCGATTTCAAGAGGACATTTGACAAGGTGCAGCACAGGAAACTGGTAAATAATATAAGAGCCTATGGTGTTAGGGGCAAAGTATTGGCCTAGATAGAGGATTGACTGACTGGCAGAAATAGGGAGAAATTTGAGTTTTTTTACTGAAGGATCAGTTGGATGGAATGAACATCTCCATCATTTGCATTTATTTCATGTAGAGGAAATATTTCTAGCTACAAAACCTAATTTGTTAACACTGATTTCCTAAAATGGAAAATGTTTCCTTCCTCAGCGTTAAAATTCTTCACCTTGTTGACCACAAAATACATAACCAAAATGCAATTGCTGCCTTTCCTGAAGGCAGATAAACTTCCAAATGGAGTAGTGGAGATGAAAACCTGGAATCAGTTCAATGCTAGAGGCTCATTTTGGAAGCATCAGTTCACATGGGTCAAATAGCTTTACAGATGTATTTTTCATGTAATTTTTAAGAATAAGTTCTCTTGTTCCTGAAGTTCCCAAATATTATTATCTGTCATTCCTGTTTTACTCTGTTACAAACCATTTGATATTTAAAAGGCTTGAATCATTCAATTTCCCCACCTGAAGGGAACACCACCAAAGTCATTAATTATAGCTAAATTCCTTCATCCCTAATGTCACTGCGGTGAATTATTGCTGAATTAATGCCTTTTCAAAGGCCACTGTATCCTTCCTGAGGTGTAATGCAAAAAATCTGAGCACGGTGCTATGAGTGAGGTCTGAGTGATAAGAAATTTGCAGTAGTTTTTTTTGTTATTCTATTCCTGTTGTGATGAAACCTGGTGTGCAGTTAGTCCTTTTAATTGGCCTTTGCACCAGCATGCCAGTTTTTAATAGATTACTTAGTCAGAACCTTTAAATTCCTTCTTAATCTATTTCTAGTATTTCCTCAGCAAGCACTATTCCCGTGCTGCTTTTTACGACTAAAGTGTGCTATTTCATGCTTGTTATGTTAAACTGAATGTATAATCATAATGTCCACTGGCTTAATCTTTTGATAGCCATGAGCAACTTTTGCTGTCATTTTTACAGCTCGATATACTTGCCAGCTTTATATCATATGCAAAATTGGATATGCCTTCCTTTTTAAAAATTGTACTCATTTGTCCACAGCGTGGAGACCTGGGGCCCCTATGAAGAAATACTTCACACTGCTCATCAATGTCAGATTGTCTGTTTTTTTTGCCACAAGATTGCCTCCAGTTCTGTGCCTTCAATTTTAGTGAACAGTTTCTTTGAAGAGTTTTTTTTTAAGTGCATGCAGTAATTTCCTTCTGTTCATCATCTCAATGACTCAGTTTAAAACAAATTGTTTAGCTTGATATACCTTTCACAGAACCAGATTCTTCAATGATTGACTGTAAGAGAAACAATTAACTCGTGTTCAATGTTTTATTGCACTGGTTTGTTTTTTTTTTAATGAACTTTATCCATCTGATTATGTTAGCTTTATTTTGAATGCATATCTCTTTAATAAGATCTACCTTAAGGTAACTATCTTATCCTTTTTATTAGTGGATCTTGCCCATTTAACTTCATGTTACAAACCAATTCCATATTTTGATCAAAGCACCATTAACTTAATGTGCTGCAACAGAAAATGACAAAAAAAATAGTAAGTATCATACTAAAAACAAATAATGTTTTTACTGCTGCCTTTCAGGATTCCTGGGATGCACAACATGTTCCAGTTCTTTTCTCTGTCTTTTGTGGCCTCCTGGTTGCAGTCTGCTATCATCTGAGCAGACAAAGCAGTGACCCCTGTGTACTGATGTAAGTTGTCCCAGTTCAAGAAGCATCTCATCATAAGTCTTTATAATAGCTGAACAAATCCAAAGGATCAGATAAATGTGTAAGATAAAGAAAAAATTCTGGGAATACTAAGCAGGTCAGGCAGCATCTGTAAAGGGAGAAACAAAGTTAATACATCAGGTTATAACCTAAGAATAGGGTCAGGAATGAGCATGTGTTCTCTCGAGTCTGCTCTGCTATTAAAGATTATGACTCTGTTTTGACCTGAGCTGAACCTGCTTGCCTGCTCCTCGTTGTTGATTCCCTTAAAAGTCTAAAATTCTACCAAACTCCGCCTCTGACATACTCAAAAAAGAACATTCATAGACTTTGGGGTAAAGACTGACAAAGATTGATAACCCCTTGAAGGTCTTCATTTCTTTTAATCTCAGACCAAAATAGCTAAACTCTCATCCTATGTCCCCTGAGTTCTAGATTCTCCAGCCAGAGAATCAGCTTCTCAACATCTACCTACCAAACTCTTTCAGAATGTTTCAGTCATTTCATCTCATTCTTATGAACTCAAATGTATTGGTTTATTCTACTTAGGATTATTTTACAAGAAAGATTATCATTTGAAGAATCAGTCTAAATTGAAGCACAGTTACCTTTCTTCAGATGTGCTGCTTGCAGCCATAAATTGGGATTTTTTTGCATCAAGTCTACTAGTAAATGTGTCTCTTCTAAAGTTGAAGCTGGAATTATAATTTTTAATTAGTGTTATCATGCAAATTTCCATGATGTAGTTGTGTGCAAGAATGGAATCTGGGTGACAGTGGATGTATCAAAACCAGATATTCAGTTATAAGATATTCTTTCTAATTTTGAGATCCATAGAACCCCTACAGTGTGGAAACAGGCCCTTCGGCCCAACAAGTCCACACCGACCCACCATGCATCCCTGAACACTATGGGCAATTTAGCATGGCCAATCCACCTAACCTGCACATCTTTGGACTGAGAGAGGAAACTGGAGCACCCGGAAGAAACCCATGCAGATGCGGGGAGAATGTACCAACGCCACCAACGTCGCTCGAGGCTGGAATCGAATCCGGGTCCCTGGCACTGTGAGGCAGCAGTGCTAACCACTGACCCACCGTGCCGCTCGGCATCGATCCTACTACCTCTCGCATACCAAGCGAGATAATGTGGTACATAATTATACAGCCCTGAATGAGAATGAATTTAAAGACTCATTTCAGGAGAAAAAGCCTTTGAGGCGATATTTGAGTGGAAAATTTGTAAAGAAGTATTAATTAAGCTGTAAAACTTAAAATCCAATTGAAAAAGCAGACATGCTTGGTAGGTCAGCAGTGTTGATGATAAACCTGTGGTTTGCTTCCCCCATTTGACAAGTATATGTTTAACTGATTGTTTTGTTCCATACATGATGAATAATCAATCTTGAATTTTATTCTTGACATAATGTATAATTGCACGTGGCCTCAACAATACATTGCCACCATTGTGGCACTGTTTTTATTAGTCCATGTGGTGTGACACAGGATCAGTTATCTGGCTGTTGTACTCTTCCAGTTTTTTTGAGGTAAATTAGCAATAAAACATTCACGCAAACCGGACGTAGATTTTGTGTTTGGACTACCATTGATTGTGGGTGCAGAACTGTTGGTGCAGGCTGAGATTCAAGCAGGAGTGGTTTTGAAACCTTTGCTGAAGCTTAAAATAAATACATTATGATCATTGGGAACATTTCTGTACTTCCAGCATTTACTTTGTCTAGTCCTGTTGAATTGTATATGTTCCTGTGAGATTCCCTCCTTATTCTTCTAAACTCTAGTGAATACAGTCCTAACTGATCTAGTGTCTCTTCATATGTCATTCCTGCTATCTCAGGAATCAGTTTGGTAAACTGTTATTGCACTCCCTTCACAGCTAGGACATCGTTCCTTACGTAAGGAATCCAAAACTGCGCACAGTATTCCAGGTGAGGTGTCACCAAGGCCGTGTACAATTAATTATCGCAAGACATCTCTCTATCTGTACTCAAATGTTCTTGCTATGAGGGCCAATATACTCTTATGGACCAGACACGCTCAAGCTATTTTAGGAAGGTAGCCTAGACCCAAACTTTTTCTTATTTTAATGGCAAATGGGAAGTACCATGTTCCAGGTCAATACGACCAGAATTAAGCAAAATCACAAGTTATTCAAACACTATAGTTAAAATACACACAAAAGAAAGACGAATTCAGAATAACAACTCTATTGCAAAACTTAATTACCTACCGTATCTATTATTCATTAACTGTTCCAATATACTAACATCCCATAAACATACCTTTGGCAAAAAGAAAAGTTCAGATACAGATTCTCACATGCAATTCTCCAACCCAAGAGGAAAAAACAAGAAAATATTGAGAGAGTAGCAGCTCGGAGATATCCACTGAAGCCTCGAATTCTGTTGAATCCCCAATAGCTTCTGATGCTACTGAGGTGGCTCAGTGGTTAGCACTGCTTCCTCACAGCGCCAGGGACCCAGGTTTGACTGTCTGTGTGGAGTTTGCACGTTCTCCCCGTGTCTGCGTGGGTTTCCGCTGGGTGCTCCGGTTTCCTCCCACAGTCCAAAGATGCGCAAGTTAGGTCGATTTGCCGTGCTAAATAGTCCGTAGTATCCAGGGGTGTGTAAATTAGGTGGATAGACCTAAAGGATAGGGGGAAGGGCCTGGATGGGATCCTCTTCGGAGGGGCAGTGTGGACGTGTTGGGCTGAATGGCCTGTTTCCACACTGTAGAGGTTCTATGATTCTATGGAAATCCAGAAGTCCTGATCTGAGAGAGCTGGCCACACCCATTCAGGCTGTTAGTTTAAAAAAAAACTCAAGGCCTCACAAGCTGTTTATTCAAGTAGTCTTTACTAGCCAGCTCAGTATCTCTCATCCACACTTTTTCACTGTTAAAAGAAACCAAGACAAAATAACCTCTTGAAGCCATAGCATCATCACAATACCAATTGCCTTTTTCACTACCTGCTACTTCTGCATGTTTACTTTCAATAGCTGGTGGACAAGGATTCCCAGGTCTGGCTGCACCACATCCATTCCCAATGAATTGCTGTTTTGCTACCAGAGTGGATAACTTCACATTTACTCACATTATACTTCCTTTTTTTATATTCTGTCCAGTTTTCTGACCTTTGTACAATTTTTTCTCCCTAAATTTGATACTATCTTTAACTTTTTATTTGACCACGGATGGTGGCTTCTCTACTTGGAATTTTTCTTCCTCGCTGAATGTATCTAATCTATGTTGTAAAATACCCCCTTAAGTGTCTTCTGCTCTATCCCTATAGAGACGCCCCTTAAACTAATTTGCCAGTGTATTTTGACTATCTCTGCTTTCACAATTGCCTTTATTTAAGTTTAAAATGCTACTCTTGGACTCATTCTTTGCTTATTCAAACTGAATATAAAATCTAATCATATATAAAGATTGCTACCTAGGACCCATGCACTGTGAGGGTCCTAGGGTCCTAATTCTCAATCTAATTGCACAATAGACCAGAGAAGTAGACAGATAAGCAAGGTAGGTAGATAGATGACTGTGTAATCACTGGAATTCAGTGTAGAGAATCAAAAGATGTGTAAGAAGGAAGAGGGAAATTATGTACATTTTAAGTGATCAGTTATTGAAATTAAGGAATAAGAAATATTGTATAAGAAGTTAAAACAAAGAACTGCGGATGTTAAAAATCTGAAACAAACAGAAATTGCTGGAGAAATTCAGCAAGTCTGGTAGCATCTGTGGACTGAAAGCAGAGTTAAAGTTTTGAGTCCAATGACCTTCAGAACCAACAATTTGTGTTTTTGATTTGGTTTAAGAAACATCATTAAACATAAAGCACAGTTGATTTTTGTATCTTGCTATACAGAATACAGAAATAATTAGCAAATGTAGCCCCACCATAGTTTTACTACTTTTGGAGCAATATGTGCTGTTATTTATGCACTTCCTTTTAGAAAGATGATATAAAAGTAACGGATAAGGTGTTCTGAATTGTTCAGATAGAACATTTAAGAGACCCTGCATAAGGAGACACTTGTTCAAGTTTATACAGGTTAGGATAGAATTAGCAGTGATTAATTCTTTGTTGATCAGATGGAGAGAGAGTTTGAAGAGAAGACGAATTTAACACAGGCATTTCATAAACTCCTATTTCAATGGTTTAATATTTCTGTTCCATCACTTCAAAGCAGCCTTGTATGCAGGCTTTCAGTTCCTTGTTCCTCAGTTCAACACACATTGCTGTTACTAGTATAGTATAATAATGCTGTAACTTAGTGTAACTGCAGCATAAATCATATCTTTATTGGGCAGTTTTTAAGGTGTTTCAGTACTTTGCTGTTTCAGTGTTAACGTGGACAGCGTAGCTGCAATGTCAGTGTGGCTTTATATGGATACATCTCAGATGTACTGCCATTTATGTAGCTGAGGAGGTTTCACGGGGTCACCTGCAGATATGACGTGGTGTAACAACAACAGTAAAAACTTATATTTATTTAGCATCCTCAAAGAAGCATTCCAAGACACTTCACAGGAACATTATAAAATGAAATATGATGTTGAGCTACATAAGGAGATATTAGGTCAGATGATCAAAAGCTCGCTCGAAGAGGTTGGTGTGAAGAAAGTGAGTTAAAGAGGCAAAGGGAGTGGCGAGGTTATTCGAAAGCTTGGGAACTGGCACACACGGTAAGCAGTAGTGGAGCACAAAAGGTCAGAACTAGCAGAGCACTGATATCTTGAAGTGTTGTGGACTGACACAGTGAAAGCATTAGACGCAGCATTAGATGGATGTTAATTAGAAAATCAGTATGTTGCTTGACCATTAATTTGAGAGTCCAGGGGTAATCGGAGAATGGAATTTACTGTCCACTGACATGGGCAACTAAATTTTGGAAAATTAAATTTGTGGAAGGTAAAACATTGGAGACCAGGGTGCATTAAAATAGTTGAATCTAGAGG